CGAGCAGAAAACGTACAATTTTTGCTACAAAAGCTGCTCTCACTGCGGTAATTATGGCTTACACAAACAAAAACGGTTCATTGAACGCTTTGTCGATTTTCTTATCATTAAATAAATAAAAATCGAAGGCATCATTCGATTACGTTATATTTGTATTGATGACCCAACTGAATCCTCATTGGCTCCGTCTCCCGTTCGGAGTTCTACCCGCTGTGACACAATTAGTCGTGGGTTTGACGCATCATTCTTCTTCAAGTTTTTTTTTTTAGTTAAAGCGGGAAGGTCGTCACCTGCACACGCGCGGGAATCCCAAGCAATGATAACAACACACGCTAAAACGCAAAGGCTCATGGGCAGACGCTTTTTAGTAAACAATGACACGCTATGGCCATCTGACGCATGCGTAGGCGACGACTCCCCCGCTTTAAGGAATAACTCTATCGTCTCTTGGCTACAATGTTACTCATTTGTCGCCACTGAATGTAATTTGTCAATAATTAGTAAACTTATTGTAAAATACTAGTAGGTAAAAATAACTGCCACGCTATAAGAGTCATGATAACGTACAACCGATTGTGTCCAATAAGGCTAAACAAAAGATATGTTTCTGATATTTGTCCGGTTTTTAGCCGACTTTACACTCGTTGTATAAACGTTTCAAATTCAGTTTCACCACTTTTCTATTCTCTTTTATTCTTCCAGGAATTCCAGACACCATTAACGTGAGCTTTTACATCGCGTCGTTTCACTCAATCTCAGAAAGTGATATGGTAAATATTTTTTTTATTTAAAGCGCAAACTGATTTTCCCATAACCCAATGCGCTCTTCAAATGGAAATCAACATTTTGAGGTTTTACCTGGGCGTCACTTGCACTAATTACCGCCGGTGGCTCCTTCAATACCTTCCATTCACCTACAAAAATACCTAATTAAAGCTTGGAAATGTCTCAGTTTACATACGTTATTTCTGCGCAACAGTCAAAGTCGCCATCTTTGTTTTTATGAGACCCATATATCTCGCGCATGCGTGGCGCGACGACTACCGCCCTTTAAACAAAACAAATACAAAACAAGAGCCACGTAACTTGTTTCCACCTCTCAAATATTATTTCATTCTCTCCCGTCCTTGCGTCGACTGCTCAACCTATCTATGAAACTGTGGTGTATAAAGCAACTTGAATGAATATGGAGACGTCACAGGGAAAATTATATGAACAATAGAAAATGACTGGAAGAAAATCAAAATTTGTTCTGACAACAAATAATGGCAGCATTTTATTTTGCTGTGTATCTTGAACGGAGAGTATTACGATGAACTGCGTTCTGTACATTAGGAGAATTCATGATACAAAAATTTCGTGTATTATTATAAAATTTACATTTTAATTAGTAACATGTTAATTTCACGCCAGCTATTAACATGTCTTGTTTCACAGCCAATAAGCAGTTTATATTATGTTTGCTTATGTGTAGGATTGGTCCTATACCATATATTTTCGGCAGCGTTGGAACGACCCACGATTACGTCACAACGCCAGCAAGCCACTGACATTGGATAATTCTGCCCGTGATAGTCTCTGGGTCCCGGATACATATTTTATGAATGCTAAAAAAGAACAACTGCATTCAACCCCAAAGGAAAATTCGCAATATACGGTTTACGGCAATGGTGACGTCTATTACAGTATCCGGTACGTCTGGTAGTTACTTCTCTACTCTTGAATGTTGGGTCCCGTAACACCTGCCCAAACTCAGTACAAACCTAAGCTAGGTATCCCAGATTGGGTATCACTTTAGCCTCACTTTAGCCTTCCTATTTTATACCAGGAATGGGCCATTAAATTAAACGGATGGGTAATCTATTTCAACATAATAACATATTTCAATGAAGAAAAAAAAAGAACAGTTTGTACGCGAACAATGACGCATGGTATGAAACATATGGTATAGATACAAGACTGGTCTGTCACAAATTAAAATCTACCCTCTATCAAAATAAACGATAATCTATCTTTGAACACGTACGATGATTTAAACATATCTATCCCAACAAACATTGCATACAATTATACGCTAAAGTTGTGGTCACTAATATTATTTTTTCTCTCCCTCCAGAATGAGTTTAACATCGTCATGTAACATGGACCTTATACGTTTTCCATTTGACACGCAGGAATGCAGAGAACGCGTGTCTTCATGTACGTTGTATATCGATCGCAATTTATGAATAAATAATGTCAGATAAATATGGTTTACCACAACGTATTATTGATATCAATCATCGATATACGGGCCGTAGCTTCCCCGTTAGCGATTTATTGAGCACCGCGGTAGCCGTGAAGCGCGCTGCAGTCGCCACGCAGCGCACGTTTGAATTTCCTTAAAACGGGCAATGCGTCTAACACGCGTTGTAAACGTTGCGGAGCGACAGCTTTGTCGCATGAACGGTCACACTTTGACACTTTTCTCATATACCTTATGTATTATTTCTCTTTTTACCCAGATGCATTTGCGAATGATGATATCGTCATAGCTTGGGCTGTTGTAGATCCTATTTTAATGAATGAGGACGTCCGTACCCCGCAGTACTATAACCCTACGTGGTATCTACAGGAGGGAAACTACGAAGCAGACACAGGTATATATGTTTGTTGATAACTTCACCGTGGTAATTCTATATATATACACACGTGATTTCTGGAAGTCGCGTTGCGGCAGGTAAAAACGCTGCTATTGTAAATGGTGACGTGATAAGTCAAACCTGATTGCGCCCCTTCCGAGCGCTGCGGGCGCAGGAGACTTGTGGATTTGCAAAAGGACGCGCGGGGAGTGCTTCTGTCGTGTACATTGTAGATATAGCAATAAAGGTGTATGTGTTGGTGTCAGTTATATACCTTAAACACAAAGATCTCGTTGACAGTAATAGAGTCACGAGACTTATTTGTTTTGCCCCTAAAACAGTGTTTATAAAAGTATGATAAAAAAGAATTGAAACACCATATTTGAGAGACTCAATCAAGTCTCGTGGCTTTCTCGCAATCAACGAGATGTTGGCAGCCATTCGCGACTTAGGTCTATTCTTACAAAACTCTAAAGCTGATTTAAAGTCTTGGATTGGACTGAAATGCTTGAGTACGACTAATGTTCTGCGTAACACACCATGACAGAACACGGGTTACATACACTAATTCCGTCTTGAACACTTGATTGCCTACTGATTTTGCTGATAGTATTCAGTCACCCAACACAGATGAACATTCAAGCACAGTAAAAATAAATCAACCACATTAAATATAAATTTGAACATGCGACGATTTCACGACTCCGTTGTTTGGTTTATTCTGTTATTATTAGGTCAGTTCTGATCACAGCGTTTATTGAACATGCTCACGTACGGGCTATGAGAAATTACACTGGCGACTAGCACTTGGTCTATATTGTTGTCTATATTATTGATGTTTTCTGCCATTAGAGATACAGACGAATATTATAAACAATTCATTACACAGCATGGGTAAACTCTCATGCCATGTGGTTTAACAGGGTCATAACAGAGATATCATTAATTTTCAAATAACACAGTTTGAGGGGAATTCGTGAAATTTCTCGGGATTCGAGAAGCCTCGGCACCGTTGTCACCCACAATCCAATAGAGGATTAATATAGTAGGTTGCTGAGATCTCGTTGAGAGTGAGAGAACCACAAGACTTTTCCCACAAAAAAGCGTCTCACTCTCTCCCGTGATCTTGTTTACGACTGTTCTCTTGATTTATGTAAACAAGTGTATTTATAACAGTGATGATAGATGAAAATTGGTCCCTAAGCAAAGACGCAAAAACAAGCTTCGATCTTCTCTCACTTTTCTACGAGATCTCGGCGTATTAGGTATATTATTGCAAGAGAATCCGAGTCGTGTTATTCCTACCAGTGAGTGCCACAATCTAAACTAACTATCAAGCACTTTGTCAATAGATTATGTATTACGCGCATTACTTTCTAAGAAGTGGCTAAAGAGAACATATGAAGCAGGCCCTCGGCATATCAGAACTGCTTTAATTGACAAAAAAATAGTCCGTTTAGTTTAACACATAATTTTCATCGACCATTGCGTCAATATAAGTCCCCGGATTTCTTCTAAACTGTCGCAGATTTCTTCCTGGGACTGAGTCTGATGTCTGTCACGTATATTGTTTTCTTTCAGGAAATTTCAGTTACATACAGATGACCTTTGTCCTAAAACGTCAACTGGGCTTCTACATGCTCCAAGTATACATCCCAAGTACCGCGTTGGTTATCATAGCGTGGCTGACGCTGTGGATCGACGCGTCGGTATCGTCCCCAGCAAGAGCAGCCCTCGGAATTACAACGGTCCTTGCGTTGATTACGCAGGCCAGTTGGCTTAGAAGCGAGATACCAAAAGTTGCCTACGTAACCGTGAGTTGATAAATAACCTAACACATCAACAGCGCCACCACATGTTTAGATTATATAGTCCGTCGTGGCGCTGTCACCGCGACCCAAGATTACTTTTCCACTTAAATTGTATCCAACGCGCTGTTTTTAAAAATATTGTAATTCCTAGGTTCCATTGACCAAAATGTTGAGTCTGAAATCATAATGGCCCTACTGGCGAGTTGACATTTTAATGTATGATAAAAATCTGCAGGGACTTCGTTATTTCGTTTGCTTCCCGCTTTGATTGGTTTTCATAATCTCTCGGAAATACTTCCCATTTTTGCTTTAAAGCGGGGGAGTCATCACCTGCGCACGGACAAACGGCCATAGCAAGCATGTCGTTGTTTGCGTTTTTAGCATGCGTTGTTATCGTCGCTTAGAATAAGGACATAATGACTCAATTCTAGCGCATGCGCAGGTGGCGATTCTCTCCGCTTTAAATCCTCACCTACGTATAACCAAAGACGTTAGAAAAAGTCAAATGTCTTTGGTATAACTATCCATATATATATGTCACATGGTCTACCTTAGATTTACGACACTTCATTTCAATGTATGCATTTCACATAATTTAGCGCATATACACTCTCTTACTGGCAGGCGTTGGATGTGTGGTTAGTCACGTGCCAATTGATAGTATTCCTTATCCTGTTGGAGTTCACGTTCATATATTATCTGAATAAACTGAGTGGCCGCCGTACGGCCAGTGGTGGTTCAGTACACAGCAGACATATGGAGGTAAGTTTATTTAATTTAGTGCTGTGTACATTTAACATAACTCGGACAAAAGAAGTGTGAAATGTGTTAGTTCGTTATTTCTTTATTCTAATCACACTAACACTTGTTTGCGATTGCGCCCACTTTTATATTCTACCAGTCATGCATCGCAAACGCTGTTGTATGGTAATTACGTTGAACACTTAATCGATGATATTCAGTACTTGGGGGGGGGGATTTCTACATTAATCTTACTTTTTTATCGAAAAACGTCCGAAGTGTGCCAATCTATGCTTATCACTAGGATTGTACTAACGAGCAGAGGTCGCTGTGCCACGCATATTTGATATTGATATGCTCTCTACTTTAGTAAACGTAAATGATCTGTCGAGATGTGCCTCAAATACAGAAGTTGGGACTTTAGAGTCTTTGTAACTAATAATAATACTTTATTTTCAGTTTCCTACCAATCAAAAGGTCGACACACGCGTCGAGTTATCACCGAGTGATGAACAGGCGTCAGCAGTTTGGCAAAGAAATGGAACGCAGTATCAGTGTGAGACTTCTGTCAACAGAAGATTTCCCAGAAAAGAGCGTCTGTACTACAAGCTTTCTCAATTGACCGACAAATATTGCCGCGTCATATTCCTAGGATTATTTCTACTTTTCAACATTTCATATTGGTTAACCTATAACTGGATGCCTTCATAGAGGCGTATGAATGTACCGGAACTATTTTATGCAATTTCAAGCACGATTGTCGAAGATTTAATGGGCAGTCGTCTATGTTCATGAATTTTACCCGTTTGTCACCATGATCGGTTTTATGTGTAGACTAGTAAACTAATTA